ACAGATCTCATCCTGATGTACCCCAGTTTCTTGTGCACTTGTACAAACCCGTCCCAACATCCCCCAGGTTTTTGTCTACTTGCACAAGCCCACCCCAGTGCCCCTGGGTTCTCATGCACTTGCACAAGCCCATCCCGATGTCCCCTTTTGCGATGCCCAAGTGCTGTGCATCCACCGCAGGGATGAGCACTAGGTGGCAGCCGGGACATGATGTACAGGGAGCCATAAATTAATTCAGTTGGTTTTTTGACCCCTACACAGGAAATGAAACCTTTGTGAAATGTCACCCCAACCGCTGGTCGTTGCAGGTGCCCTTGTGTGTGCAGAGACGTGTCCTGTCTGCTCTGTCCCCCATCTTCAGCCCTGCAGGCTCCATCCCCTGAGAAGAACATGCTTTTCAGAAAAGAAATCCTCAGGAAAGGCCACGACGTGCCTTTATAATTAAGTCCAAATATCATCTAAGGTTTTGTCATTGCTTTTGCAAAATCCTGCAGGAAGTTCCCAAAGGTTTGTGCATCAGCTGGGCTGTAAGGATGTACATGTGTCTGGGGGCTTTCATGCATTTAGTGTTGTTTTTTGAAATTTCAGCGAGTTTCTTTGCAATCTTGGGAACTAAGCCTGGACTCTGTTGCTTAACAGGAGGAAAATTTCTCACCCTTTCAGATGAGTCCTGGAACGGGGACGTTTTGAAATACGAAAGCTCAGTTTCCAGGGTTCTCTATAGGTCCCCTGTACATTATGCCTGTCCCTCCCATGCTCTGTAACTGCCCTCTTTGATATTTGCATGTGAGCAATGAACTAAATATCCTGTGTGTGCTCAGGGCCATGGATATGCTGCTGGACAGGGAGCCAGACTGCTCAGAGACGCCACTGTCTGATTGTCCCTCCTCGAGAGAGCACCACCAGGGTCTCTCCTTGGTCTCCAGCATTGGCTTTTACCAACCATGTAAGAACTTTGCAGCCTTGCAGCCTCAACTCCAGTGTTTGGATTTGGTGGCCAGTGGGTTAAATAAGTCACGGGTGGAAGGGATAGCCTACTTTTCCTCTTTTCCAGCTGCCATGCCTGTATTCAGCAAAGTGTTTCGTCAACTAACAACGTTGAGCTGTTGGGCCCAGCTCCAGCGAAGCATTTTAATAAAGCTAGGGGTGTAAAGAGGGCTCTGGAGCCAAATGAAGCTCAGTCTTGGTTGCCTCCGAGTCTTGTCCTCCACAGTTTATAGTGCAACAAATACCATGGCTGCCAAATGGCCTATTCCTAGAAAACCCAACTTTCTGCATGCAAAGCACAACTAAGCCTCTGACGGGCACCAAAGTCTCTTCCAAAGCTGAGGGCGGGCTCTTGAAGAACCATCTTTGCTTGCAAATCCAGCAGTGAGAAAGCTGCAAGGGTTCACGCAGGTGCGATGTGGCGTGACCCTTCTTGTCACCCATAGAAGACGTGTGAACCTCAACGTCTCACCCCACCTGCCCTCCATCGTCATCGTTCCCAGGAAGGAGCCACCCTGAGGTGCCTCAACTGCCTTTTCTCAAAGTGACTGATGACAAAATCAGTCCCTCCTCCTGCCCAAAGGCTTTGTTCCAAGCCAGGAATAAATTCCCATGCCACACGAGACGAGCCATTACCACCCTGAAACAATGCTAACCAGAGAAGGAAAAAGCCAGAAAGCCTTCCAGAAGGTATTCCCAGGGCTAGCCACCCTCCCCAGTCTGCCAACTCCCAGTTGCTCTGGCTGCCTTCCAGCCACTGCTTTGGCTGTGTTTTTCTCTGCTGGATCTCAGCACCCAGGAGCCTCTCGCTAAAAACCCCCTCAGGTCTCCAGTGAAGCTACATCCAGAGGATGGTGAAGTCACCTCTCCATATTTTATTTAGCGAGCTTAGCAAATGAAGGTCCTCTGGCTCCTCCGTGCAAAACTGTTTCTCCAGCCTTCAAGTGATTTTTTGGGATCCTCTGCTCCACCTTCTCATATCTTAAACCCCTCTTGAAGAGGGAGCACAAGGAGTTGCAGAGATGTCTTAGCCATGCTGCTGGAGCTGCACACAGACAGGTATAGCATCTTGGTGGGACTGATTCTGGATTCAGTCTCTATGTAGCTTTGGGCAATCTGTTTTGGGGTCTAAAATGGGAACAAATATTCCTTTTGTGTAAAATCTGAATTTCTGGAGGCAAAGATGCATCTTATCAAGATTTGAGTGTGCAAATACCTTGAAGTGAACTGGGCCTTGTGCATGTGGTCATTGCTCTGGCTAAATGGTTGCTGAAATACCTGCCTGTCTGTGCTGTTCGTGGAGATGGTGCTTCGGATCAAGACACGGGAGCCAGCAGGTGTTGGTGTTAAGAGGGTAATTCCTTTCGGGGTGGGGACATGTCGTGGTATCTATCTACACAAGAGTTTGTAATTAGAGGTTACAACATGCACCCTTTAAATATATTATTTGGATCCAAATAGGATTGCTAAATCCCTGCAGATTGTGTTCATCAAAGCCTTATAAATACAGGTTCCTTCCTTCCTCTTGCAGTGTCCCTTGGTCTCAGCAGCTTTGTGGTGACACTCCACCATATCAGCCAAAGCTATGAAGGTACTCTTCCTGCTGCTGCTTCTCCTCGTGGTGTCCCACGCTGCTGCAGGTTAGTGTAAATACAACCGAGGTGCATTTTTGTGTTTGGGAAACAGGGAGCGATTCTGTAAATGAGGAAAAACCCATGATACATGCACAGCTGATGTGATACTTGGGTGTTGAACCTGCCTGCCTGGCATTGAGTAAGCAAACTCCAGTTAGCCGTTTCAGTGCTAAGGGGAGAGAGCATCACAGTTCGCAGAACTCATGAATGCTTTCAGACATCACAGCAAAACTCAACAGCAGGTTGATGATCTCCCCGAGATGCCACTTGTGCTATCTGCAGACTGAGCTGCTGCGAACATGGGGACAGGCTTTCCTCATGTGCGCAAATCCAAAGAGATAAGCTGACTGGCTCTTCTTCTCAATCAGTGCCAGACACTGTGATGTGTCGGAAGACCAAGGGCAAGTGTTCATTCCTGTTGTGTCCCTTGTTTAAGAGAGCCACCGGTACCTGCTACAATGGACTGGCAAAGTGCTGCAGGCCCTTATGGTGACTTCCCACAGCCCATGCAGGGGCTGGTAGCATCGGTAGCATCAGTAGCAGTGGCAGCAGTAGCGTAAGTTTGCCCTTCTTTATGTGGGTATCTGTTGGTTTTGGTGCTGCCTTTCCTCAGAGCTGGTGGAAGTTACTTTTGCATGTGGCCTCGTGTCTGCTCTTCACCCGTGTATCCACACCTGGGAAATCACTCTGTGGCACCTTCTCATCCACTGGACCCTGTCCCTCCACTGTCACCAAGGCAGGGCTGAACTGGTAGCCTGAAACTGGACAGCTCCTCTCCTCTCCATGCCAAGGGAGTTCTGTGGTGGGAATCTGGCAGATTTCCTCCTCATGTTGGGGGAGAGTGTGATGTGTCCCATGTTATGCTGAGATACCATAGCAGACCTCACCCATCCCATATGCTCTCCTGTGGTAGCCACCCACAGAGCCCTGATGGCCTCGGTTGCCACCCTGGTGTCCCCAAGGGAGAGCACGAGGCTGATTTCCAACCACTGAAGAAGTTTAGTTGGGAAGAGGCTCCCTGTTACTGCCCTGCTGCTTCACCTTTGTCGAGCCCATGGACGGGTGAGGTGTAGAGGGCTGGTGCTAGGCAAAATCTGACAGTGCAGCCCCTGGGACCTTCCTCCAGCTCTTGGACTTCTGCATTGCCCTTTCCACCCACCACATGCCAAAGGGGTGCGGGGCAGGGACACCACTGCTTTCTCTCCCACCTTGTCCCTGCCTGTGATTTGTCTCTCTGCCTTCATCCTCACCAGGCAGATCCTGCATGGTGAGGTCCCAGCTCCTCTGGCCAGACCTTGTCTCTCCCCTGGGGCACTGAGTTGCTCCTGCCAATGTAATATTTAAAAACATTTTTGTTCATGTCTGTTAACTTGCCCACCTTCTCCATGCAGGATGGCTGTCTTTCCTGAACAGATGGGTAAATGTAAAATACAACCCTCATTTTCCCAGCTTCCCTGTAGGACCCCTTTTCTCTTCCATAAGAGTATTTATTTCCCATATCCCCTTATAATCATCTCAAGAGAAGGTCTTTTATCTTTCACCTTTCCCATTCTGTATCCTCAGAAGATGCTGTCCTGGCTCGGTCATCTGTCCAGCTTCTCAGAGGACATCTAGCCAATTCAGACCCTGTTCTGGAGGGTAGGTCTGGTCAACTCTCATTTGACCTCTGTTGTGATACAGCAAGGGTCGGAAGCTGAAGTCTTCAGGGATCTTCTGCTGCTCTCTTGCAGGCTCTGCAAAATATCTCAGCCTTCCAGTATTGAAGCGATCTGTGCTCTTTTTCTCTCCTCTAACCCATATTTGCTGTGTCCAAAGAGACTGTGGTTCACAAACTATTTGAGTTGTGTAAATATCTAATAAAGCATGAATGATAACATAAAGTGCTTTAAACAATTCATTGGTGAGGAGTGTTTCAATCCCTCCAGTTTCTGAGGTGTAGGGCCTAGGTCCTGTGGATCTTATATCCAGCCACATCTCATCGGCAGGCATCTCCAAAACCTGGGAAAGGTTTTCTAGGTCATCTCCTACCTGAGCCCAAGTCAAGAGGAGGTTTGATTAACTCTGCAATCAGGGAGCTCAGATTTGTTCAGCCCAGGTAGATGGCTTGAAAAAATCTCATCAGACATCTGCGGTACTTTTGGTGTAGCAGCTTCTCCAGGCACAGCTAGTCCTGCAAATGCACTGCAGCTGACATTATTGCATAGCATGTTGCCACTGCCAAAGAAAAAAGTCATTAATAATAATCAAGCTCTCCAAGCCCAAAGGTGCTATTTGAACCTTAATCACTCCTTCCATCTAGTGATTTGAAAGTCCTTTGTACTCATGAACTGAGGCTTGCACCACCCCTGGGAGGTAGCCAAGCAAACAGAAGGTACCTACTGTTGTAATTAAGCCGCTCTCTTCCACCCAGGATTAATTGTAACCCTTTTACTTCAGGACTAAGAAATAATAATAGCAAAAAGCAGGTATTTGGTGGTATGCCAAAAAGTTGTGGTGACTGTCACGGGGCTGTCTTTCAGGAATAATAAGTGAGACTCCTCAGTGGTTGTATAATTACTGCAATTAGGAAATCAAGTGCTTTACAGAGTATGCAAGGATTGCTACTCATGTTGCACTGATGAAGAAACTGGGGTGTAGAACAGGGAAGTGTCAGCAAGGTCCTTGCCTCCTGGTCACCCACAGACAGGAGGAGCAGAAAGATCTTGGGAGTTGTGCTCTGACATCCTAAATTGTTTATCCCCTTTGAAAATAAATGCAGGCATCATTAACAAAATAGCATGCAAAATCATTCTTAATTGTGACCAACAACTGGGGACAATTGATCCTTTGGTGTAGAGCATGATTGCTGGACACCACATCCCAGAAATCTGAATAGCCATGTCATGGCTATCATGGGGCAGGCATGGAAAAATCTCTTCTTCACAGAACTTGGGAAGATTAACTCCATGGGAAAGATGGAGAATGTAAGAGTCATGGCTATACTGAGCTGGAAATGCCTTCATTGTTTGAAGAGGCTTCACAATCTGAGGCTCAGTGAAGCCCGACAAGACTGGGCAGCCTATGCTTTACTCATCCAGTGGACAGGAGCATCAAAACCACTGGCACGACTATGTGCCCCAATTAGCACTGCCCCTGTGGGTAGGAGAGGAGGTAGCGAAGGCAAAGGGAGTCTTGGCTTGCCTACAGATGGTATCGCATTGACCCAACCGACCCTCACATGTGTGCATCTGTTTCAACCCGTGTTTTGCTACACACCCTAGCTGCAAATATTTCTCAACACCTTAGAGAAGGATTTAAGCAATAGTCCCTCCCTGATGGACCCAGATAGCCGATCACATCTTTTGCAGATCATTCCCCTGCTCGATGCGAAGCAGCAGAGCGGTTGTGAGGGGTGATTGTGCATGATGTTAGGAGATGCAGAGATCAAGTTTTTATGGCAGTAAAAGGGTGATTCTTAGAACAACTAGTCCTGGCACCCACAAGAAGAGTTGCCTTCCTGGATTTGGTCATGAGTGGTGCAAAGGACCTAATTCAAAAGTTGTTTGTGAGAGAGCCACTCTGTAAAAGTGACCACAGTACAGTTAGGCTTAACCGTGTTCTGGGACCAAATGCATTTAACATGTGAATATCTAATCTCAAAAAAGCAAAAATGAGGAAAGAAAAGCACCAAAAGGAGTAGTCCAGAGGAGCAAGAAGCCTGCAGATGGCCTGAAAGATCTTTAAAAGGCTGTGCTAGAAACCTCAGTAACATATTTGCTTTGACTGGGAAAGAAAACAAAGAGGTCTAAGAAAAAACTCTGCAGGGCACGAAGGGTAGGTCAAGGGAGGCTCTTGAAGGGAGGAGCTCAGTGGTGAACAAACAGCTGACAGAGGAGAACGGCAACTCCCATAAAGTGTGGCAGGCCAGATTCAAGTAGGAAAGAGGGCTAAAAAGGAAAGTGAAGATGCCTTTGCAACAGACACATGAACTGATAGTAGAAATGTCAGTAAATGCATGGAAAGCAGGAAACCATTGCGGGAGTCCTTGATGAGAAAGGAATAGGAGGGTACTTAGGGGTGGTATGCTGTAGCTCAGTACACTCTGTCCATGGCAAGGTAGTAAAGGCTATAATAATAATAAAATTGCTGAGCATAGGCAGTGAATTTCTGGACGTTGCTGGCACAGGAGGCTGTGGAGGTAGAAAATACCAGTAGGCCCGAAAAGGGTTAGGCAAATCACAGACAGCAGGTCCTTACATGGGTAAGGATGGGCAAGGATGTCCCCTGCAACATCCTGCTTTTGCAATTATGGATGCTGGGGCAAAATGGGAGCACTTGCCCTCGGATAGTGCCCAGGCTCACATGCTCTCCCTGAACAGCAGGGAAGGCATAGAAAGAGAAGGCAAAGAGAAGCAAAGAGAAAGCATGGACAGGGGTTGCAAAGAAAGAAAACCAACGTTCAGATGGGCAAGGGATGGTGAGCAGTGTCTGGAGCCAGGCCAGTGGCAATATGCTTCTGACTGTGGTGTTTAATTGCAAGCAACGACTCTGTAAACCATTTTTCTCCTCAGTTATGAGCTGTGAACAAAAATATGCAGCTCTTGGAAGAGCCCATGGCCTGACCTGCTTCATGGCAATGCCCGTGTAAAGGTGACAGCGGGGACTTCAGGTGCTGAGAGCTTTCTCATGGAGAAACCTCTGGGAAACACCCCAGTGGGATTGCTCACACATCCCTCAGCTTTTGTGAGTCGGGTGCCCATTGATACAAGCCTCCATGGGCTTTGGCTTTTGTTGGGAGGCTGAAATCCTTTCCATACTCAATTCATTAACTATTTAATTAATTCAGTTGCTCTCTGGAGCATCTCTCATCAGATGGCTTTGCTTTGCAGAGTTGTTACCCCAGTAAGTCCCTGTTTGGCCAACTGTGACACTTGAGTGTTGACAGACTCATCACTCACGAGACCCAAGCTACTGATTCATGCTCTTGGAGGTGCAGAAACTGCCCAGGGCAGGCAGCAAAGAAAGCTTTAACCACAACTAGGTTAGCCTTGAGGTCTATAAAAACCTCTGCATTTGGAGAGAGATGAGGAGCAAATATATTCATTCTAAAATGGCGAATGTAACCAGAGTAACGTCTTCTACAGTTTAAGACTATATTCTGCTCTTCACTATGCTGAGAGGTGTAAATCAGAAGAAACTCTGCTGAAATCATTGCACCAACTTCTGACATCATGAAGACCAAAACCCATCCATGGCTGAGCATGGAAAAACTCACCAAAAGGAAATGGTGGCGATCTTCTAGCCTTCCTCTTCTTGATAGCCCATTGCCAAAAGTTCCCAAGGTCTAATCCTGCTAGATACCAGAAAATTCGGGTAGAAGGAGGCTTTCCCTTCTTTACTACCTGAGAGGCACACTGGAAAATCTGCCAGTAGAGGCAGGGATTGCATTCTTCTCAACTCTGGCAATATTGCAGAGGTCCAGGAGGCTGCGCTGTAAGACAGCAGGGATGAACT